CGGCAAATCTTCAAGTTCATCTCCTCTTACCTCCCGCGATGGGCAATAAAAAAAGGTTCCGATCGAGGTATTCCACATTTTTGCTCACTCCGGAAGATTCCCTCGAGCAAGGAATGCGAGAAATGAGAGCAAAAGCTTTCAAATAAGTTCAAAAATTAATGAATCACACACAAAAAATGGGCCGATCTCAATCCGATTCAAAAAGAATTTTATATTTTAAATTCAGATTTTCAAACTGAATTTGATTATAGTTACCCATAGTGATCGATCGCTTCCTTCGAAATACGCGTTTCAGACGCTTCGAAGTGACGTCAAAGTTTTATTATTCCATTTATTTGAACAAAATAAAAATGGTCATGCATCAGCAGTTGAGACATTTAAAGTCTTGATACATTGCAGAGTCGTTTTAGAATACCTTTCATCGCTGCATATTTAAGTCGCTGCGGGAGTTTTTCCCAGTGAATTTTTTTGCAGCACCACCCACATGACACAATTGAGCAAAACACATTGAAGCATGCATGTCGGAGCGAAGGGAGCGTTAATTGCGATCAAAAGACCCATTTTGCGTGTTTTCTTTTGCAGTCCCCGAATTCCTCTTGGGATTCCTCGGAACCGAGTACTCGGTTCGTGGTCACGCATCGCCTGTTGACGTGAATACGCATTCGACTTCCTCTTACTCAATTGCCGAATTCCTCGCAGAAGCGAATGAACTCCAAATTGAATGGCCTCATATTTACCGCGGAATGTAAATCCTGAAATATTAACACACTTTCCCAACGACCATTGTCGCGAATTACAGAAGACCAACCACAAATTAGACTAGAATAATATCTCCTGAACGTTTGAACCTATAACACCTCGAACTATTTTTCTTAGTTAACGCAACCCTCTCGAAATCAAAAACAAAATTCCCCTTGCATTTTCACAAACGTAACGGAAACTATGGAAGCAGTCAAAAGGCGTTTCTGTCCCAGTTCCGCGCGCCCTTACTGAAAAAAAGAAATTGTTCGCTCGCTTGATTCGGGTCCATCACGAACACGTAGAGAATTTTCAGAGAAAAAATCGTGCACATCTCAAAAAGATATCATAGATGGCTGCATATTTCAGAGCATGCTTTTCAAAAAATCGCCATGGAAACTAAAAAAAAAAAAAAAAAACTTCTGGAAGAACCATTGCATCAGTCTCAACACAGTGCAAGCGAGTCAATGAAATCTTTCTGTGGGCAATGAAAAACGCAACACTAGAGTGGCGTGAAATTTATGAGTCACGATTCCGAGAACGTAAAAACAACACACGCAAGATTTGGCTCGACGAGATTCAACAAACAAACAAAATAAAAAGTCTGCCGGATGAGACTCGGTCAAACTCGGGTCAAGCTCGTTGCTCAGGAAACTGCGTCATCTCCCAAAGTATACGTAGGTACGATTGAAGCACCTGAGTGTCAGATAACGTCGAACCGGGTCACACGACCCCTACGGGTTCCGCGGTCAGAAGGGAATCCCTGCATGGTCACGATTTCCGATCGAAATTCGTGAAACCCGTGCGCGGGATTCTGGCAGATGAATACCACAGGAACGCGACGTGGTTCCGCACGATGAAGTAAGTAAAGAAAAAAAAAAAAGAGTAATGTAACATATATCTGAAAATTTTGAAATGATCAAAAAAATCAAAAAATATAAATGGTGATCAAATACGCATATGCACTCTTGAACTGTGGAAATGTTGTCATACTTTGCAAAATCATCGATTCTTTCAGAGAGGCAACGAAAACCTAATTAATTTCGAGACCCTCAAAGGAAAATTGGGCAGCTTTCTTTATGGAAATTCTATTAGACGGTGAGGACAGAAAACATGATCCAAATAAAGTTCGACCACATTTCGTGGAACACACAGTCCCGTCATGTCCAAGTGCAAATAAAAGATGAGCAATTTTCTTTCAAGCAAAATGAAAATTTCAAATCAGCTGATATCACCACTTCACTCCGGAAAAATTTAAATCACCATGAAAAAATCTTCGCCAGATCCATTCTCACACGTGCATGTTGAATTTCAGTTTTTTTTCCTATTTCCAGTTAAATCAGATCATGCTTTAAGTTTATTTTCAATCTCAGAAAAACATTCGATTATTGTTTCATCCTCATCTTTTTCATCATGAATCGCCCTGAACACTTCTACTTACATAGGAATTATACTGTATAAGACACAATCGAAAATAAAATGTTTCCTGACTGTGACTCCAATTCTCAAAAAATGCGTATCTTCGATTCGCAAAAATAGAGCCACAAAAAAAGTGTGCTGGTTCAGAACATTGACTTGTAATTTCTATGCTTTCCAAGCGTGGGAAAATTAGAAATTTTTACGTGAGAGACGTCAGCAAACTGATTAATTTGATGATTTCGAATCCAGGAAATTTCAGTCGAAAAAAAATTCTCATTCGCACATTGCGTGACGAGTTTACAAACCGAGACGGAGGTACTGTACTCTCATAAATTGATCGCACAAAATATTTTCCTCGTCAATCAAAATTCAAAATGTAGGTTAATTTATAATCAACTTACAGTATGTATTGCAACGCCCGCCCTTCACTATTCCTTCTTAGCTTTGAAATTCTCTCACAGGACAGCAAAATTCGCAGCATTTCGCAATCACTGTGGTTCTTGGGTTTTCGAGCTGCGCAAAATCGCGAGTACACACGCCCTCGTCTGTTCTTCGGATAAAATCCGGCGAAAGGAAATCGTATTATTTTTTCCATTTATGCAAATTGAAGAGAGAGAAGGAATAAAGATCACCGTAAAGATAGTTGCGTAAGAAAACGTCTGCAGTTACGCCGCAAAATTTTTATAAAATGCATAGAAAAATTCTCCAAAAATTATGCTTTGAAAATTCGTGCTGAAAAACGGTACTCAAACTCAGTACATTCATCTTTAGTATCGATTGTTGGGGTAAATTGGGCAAAGGCAAGCCAGTAAACATGTTATTTTCTTTTAAAAAAGAAATCTATATATGCGTAGAAAATAAAACCCGCTTTTCGCTGTCGGGAATTTTCTCAAGTAGGATGCAATGTAGTCGAAAACGCAAAAAATCTAACATAAATAAAACTCTTCTCGACCAAATTTTTCCCGGCTGTTCAAGTAAGAAAAGCGCGAAGAGTCGTGAAAACAATTTCCATGCGACATATGTTTGTTTCGTTTGCTTTTTCCCTCGCATTTCCGCATTGCAATCAAGAAAGGTCTCTTTCCTGGTTTAAAAAAAAAAGTTCTGTTCCCATTCGGGTTTCATTCTCGGGCTTATTTGATCACGCCATTTTCCCCTTTCATAATACTATATATTGGTTTTGCCTGCTAAAAATTCAAGGAAATGTTGATTATCGCTATGTATTTGCGAAATAAAAATGGGATGAATGAAACTGGTGGCGGTCGTGTCCATTGATCTGCATCCAATTTCGGAATAAGCTGAATACATTGTGATTATATTTTTTTCACTTGTGGGAAACTGAGTTAATTTTGCTGCGGTGTGCTGGTCTACAAAAATTTGAATATTACGGCATTCCTTTTTATTTTTAAGATTTATTTCATGAAAAAAGTTGCCTGCCTGTTCCAGTTTAGCATTTCCTTTGTGTTTCTTCTGAATATACTCAAACCTCTCGTTGACCAGGTGGACTACTTAATCCACTCACAGTCCGGATTAAGGCTTTTCATCGGAAAATAGCTGGTGATGCAATGTCGGACAGGATTATTCTGAAAACTCTTTCAACTGAGTTTGACGAAAAATAACATAATCGTAGACACGAGGGCGGTTCATACATTTCGTTCGTCGTCTGCATTCATTAATGGATAATACGTGATTGAGGTCAACGTAATTTGAAATCAGTTAATACTTGTTATTCAAAAATAAATTGATTTTTTTCCCCGATTTAAATTTCTGATACCGTTAGAAACCTGGAAGTATGCTTCATAATTCTGGAAAGATCATTTTCACTCCTTTTGCATGCTTTATATGTTATCCCAGGAAGTAGAAAATACTATTGCATTGTAGAAATAATCGTCCATCAATAATGTTGAAAGCATTCAAATGCTCTCATCTTGAAAACGAAAGGGGTGTTTTTCCAACTGGAAATTTCAATGCGTGTTCCCCAAAACCTTATCAGGTGTGCATATGAAAATTATTATGAATTGCGGTACAATGAATGCACAGAATTGAAAATTTTCTGCATTAAAAAAATTAAGAAGCACGCCTCGAGTCTCCTTATTGGTTTAACAAGATTCCAGGGATTCCGGCTCAGAAACTTGGGCGAAAGAAAAAAATCACTAGAATTTCACGAGATTACAAAATGTTTCACCCTTGAAATTATCCGAGATAATATACTAATTTAATGTCTTACTTCATCCCTGGAAATTTTTGAATGAAACTCATCTTAATGATCAACTCAACGGAATGCTGTACTAATATTTTTCAAACTGAAATGGTTGGATAGATTTGCTCGATTTTCGTTGAAATTTTCCGAAAGTTCTGCGCCATATCCCAGAGAAAGCCCAAGGCAAAAAGCAATGTTTTGGAATTTAAGAAAAAATAAGGAGGCTACAATAATTTTCAAAATCCGAAAGAAAAACGTGTCCACGAAGCCCTGAAATAAAGTTTCGTCGGAAAAAGAAAAGCGAACAATATTTTCGCGCCGCCGACTAAAAAATCACCCACCTGCGAACATCCTGCACCCCCGCAATTCGTGAGGAATTGGGAACCTCTCCTTACAAGGTCCTCGGTTGGNGAAATAAAGTTTCGTCGGAAAAAGAAAAGCGAACAATATTTTCGCGCCGCCGACTAAAAAATCACCCACCTGCGAACATCCTGCACCCCCGCAATTCGTGAGGAATTGGGAACCTCTCCTTACAAGGTCCTCGGTTGGAAGACATAAAAGAAAAGAGGAAACCCTGGCATTAAAACAGGAAATATTCCACACCAAGCATGAGGACATTAAAGGCGCTGTAAGTCCGGACCAGACGTCACGAAATCGGGTTCAGCGACATTTCGGAGGAAATGAAGAAATGAAGTAGCACGATCGGGAAATCATTGACTCGGGCCAGGAAAATCGCCGCCTTCGCAGGTGGTTGTTTCCGAAGCCTCGCCATCAATTTTCGCCAGCCCTGGGCACGAATGCGAGATCCGGAGCTTCGTGTGCGACACAAGTGTTTAAATTATTCCATCCTGTTTCCCTTTTCCGGTCAACGAAATAATATAACAACTGAGACCGACGAATTTCCCCTAATACGCGACCACAATGAGGTCAAAAAATTACACATAGCTCGTTATAATTTAGTGGTAAAAATGCCATCATAATACGACACGGCGTTTTCATGGTCAGCAGAAGTGATTCGAATGAGTACGCTTTGAAGAATTCAATCGAACAAAATTAGGTATTGGTGTGGGTTTTTTATACACTGCGGAAAATATTTTCAGCCGTCGGTCTCAAATTCGGTCTCCTGTTCTTTCGTATAGGGTTTCTGCAACAATAAGGCGAAAAGCTCTACTGCACCTCGGCTTTGCTCAGCTAATGATATATTGTACAGTACTGTACTGTAATTAAGATTTTTGTGGGTTTTTAATTCACTCCATGATTCCAGCTGTCCTGGATCCTGGCAGTCTGAAATTCGGTATTAAAATTTAATTTGCAAAAAAAATCTTTCTCACTTCCCACTACTTTAAGCTTTAGTTACTTTTATGTCCGTAACGTAGTCAAGAACTCGTTCTTTAGTGCCTCTGCACAACTCCGTGATGGTGCCTAACTTTCGGGTTCTTTTGATTTTTTTTTCGCTTCAGAGAATGCAAACGGTCAAAATTTTTTTTTTTAAATCCAATGCTTATTTACCGAAAAATTATTTGCAATTCCGATTTTCCGCAGCAGCACATGTAACACTACTTTTCCTGAAAAAAAAACATTGCTCAGTGCACGGAAACCCCAAAATTTCGGCAAGCAATGCGTGGTTTTGACATCTTGAGAGAGTATTTTAATAAGCAAATTTTTCATATTACTTTTGCTTTCGCATTTTTTTTCTGCGGAGATTAAAAGCAAATTATAATGAAGTGCTCAATAAAATGCTTCTTTGAAAATTCGGAATGCTCCCCCTTCTTCAGTTCGGTCGATGCCAAAAACTGGAAAGGGTTATTTTCGACAAAGTTACAAGCACGGTACAGTATCGTTCAGTAATCGTATCCCAACAGCTCGCCTCCTATATCAACGTTATCGTCACGAATATACATAAAACTGGTTCGAATCATCCTGGATCTCGCAACGCATTAGCTGAGTTTCAGTAGATCGTTTCGCGGTGTTGCAGAAACCCTATACCGAAGAACAGGAGAAAAGATTTTTCAGAAACGACGGAATAGAGAACAGGAGAAAAGGGCTGATAATAAGAAGGAGGATATAGACTTATAGAGAGCAGAAGAAAAAAAAAACGAAAAAAATAAGAAATTAAGAACAGGAGATGTCGGATGAGCGGCGTGGGAAGTGATCGCAATCGCGATATTTCCCCCGGCACACACACACACACACACGCCAAGGACGGGTCGGTGGTTTTACGACACCACCAGAGTCACGATTTGGCTGTCGAGGCTTTCTGGTCGATTTTTCTCCACTGGCATGTGAGATCTGACAGGGTTTAAGCAGGTAGGTTGGCAGAAAGTAACAGCGTGGCGAGCTTCAGAAATCCGGGTGGCAACACTGCATGCAGGGGGACTCCGTGAAAACTCAAACATCTCAAAGACATATATATGCTATATGTCAAAGATAGTTCCTGTTATTCCGGGCGTAAGAGCCAAACTGAGCGCCGTTTCAACCTTTTTATTAATTTGCATATGTGTTTTCCACTAAAGCTGCGTATTTTGAATAACTTCACTTATTAAACTCTCTTACAGGGAGGGAAAGCACACTTGAAAAAAAGTTTCTCTCAAGACATTTTTCCACGGTTCATTGAGAAACTGTCCATCAGATATCATGGCAGATTTTACTTTAGTATGAAGTGTATACATAAGTCAAATTGTCTGCATCTTGGGACATTCATAATAAGTTGGACCCCAATGTTAGTTGTGAAAATTTCACCCAAATCCACCTGTTGGATTTGCTGAGCAAAATATGAGTATTTATGCACAAGATGGCGCTGAGCATCATTCACCCCCGGTGATTGTTTAATCAATTTTCATACTTTTTTACTAAACCGTAGCTTGTTTATCGCTGACTTCGAACGATTGCTAATTATTATCTGGCGTCTTTAGTGAGGATGTTATCTTTTCATACTTGGCAGGATGAGTAAGCATCAGTACTTCACTGCCCGATGCCATCTTAACCTATATATCATTCGTCGCACTTGAATAAGCTTTAAAATTACCTTATTAGCAGGATAGGAAGCGGAGGAAGCCATATGTTAATAATAAATCAGCCGTTTGTGTCCTTTCTGTATTAAGCAGCAGTCATTTGACTTGCCCTTATTCTAAAAGGCAATGCTCATTACTTCAAGTACCGTATCTCAGTGACTAACGCAATTTTCGCGGAGGGATTCATAACACAATTTTGCCTGCAGAGATGATGTAACTCGAAAAAAAAAAGTTACTCAGCTCATCCGTTTGTCATTGCAACATCTTGTGCAAGAAAAGATTTCGACCTTCAAAATTTCTTACATACTGTATTATACGAAGGACGAGATGGAATCTTGATGAATGACGAAGAAAGCAATGTAAGCTTCACAGGTTCTGAAAATCCCCCTTTTCATTCAAATTGATAAGATTTAGTATGCGTATGAAATCAGTAAAACGAATTAATTGTTGGACGCTTCATACTGTATGTCGAAGTCTGTTTTGACACCGGAAATACTATATATAACTATAGAATAATTTTCACTAGGATATACTTTTCATAGGAAATTTCGATAAATGGATTTGGCGAAAATAAAATCGCTGTCGGTCGGACATGAGTTTTCAAGGTTTATGCCACTAATTCTTTTCCAAAATAATACTCTGAAGTACTGTTTCGCAAACCGTTCCATGGAATCCGATTCACTGATAAATATGCCTTTTCGAAAGCAAGAAGATGCCATTGAAAATCCTTACCGGTTCAAAATTCTCCAGAATGTCATAATAATGAACTTCGGGAAGCCAGACGAAATATTAGCGTGTAAGCTCTCGTTATTGATTTCAGGGATGAGCTGACAGAAGTGCTTCAATTATTTTTGGGAATAAATCTCTTGGAATGAGAAAAAAATGGGCTCAAAACTGTGCAGTGCACTTTTACGCATTCCAAGATATGTCAAAAAGTGAATGGATGCGAGCTAAATCAACATTATAGCAAGTGACGTGTTATACTGTACATATTAACCGATGAAACTGCCGAACACACATCAGACCCAATTTCGACCCTGCATATTTTTTCTTGCGCGGAAAAAATAGAACATATTTTGATAAAATTCTGGAAGGAAAACGGATCCTCGGTTTAGATGATTTTTCTGTATAAGACCAACAGTTATCATAAAAATGCCCCGTCCAGCATGCTGTGCATGGAGAGATGGGACACGAACACTGCGCGTGCGAGTTGGGTTGAGATTGGCGCGACATCTAGGAATACAAAACCCAACAGTTCAAGAAAGGAACAACGTCAAGGCCGTTCGAGATCGCTGTTACTTTCCCGACAATCTGGCACTTGCCTTCGCAGTGGTAAAATCTGCGTTTATGTTTGCATATGCAAAACGTATTCCGTGCCTGTGCCATGAACGAAGTTCACAAATATTTTCGAAATAATTGAAATTCGATAATATTTGAGGTCAAGATTGATAGGGCGTCCCTCTCCGACTTCGAGCAATCAACGAGACATTTTTGACTCAGCTTGGCAGAAATTAATCACCCCCAAAGTACTATTCATCTCAAATTTCACGTTTCCTACGCAAAATGCAACTCATATTCCTCATCCTACAGTGATTTGTTGGATTCTTGCATTTAACCCAAATGACCCAATAAACCCTAGTTAACTTTTGAGACAACATTTGCACGACTTCCGCTTTATTTTTGGATAATCAAAGCCAAGTTTTCTGGCTTGATATGCGCTCGATCCGCGAAGTGCGCAGCGAAAATTTTTTTCCTTTTTCAATTCGGAATTTGTTTATTCATTTAAAATTTGATTATAGAAAATTACTCACCGCCATAGAGTCAAGGTGAGGGTCCTGAACGCCGACTCGATCAGCCTCAGGGCCTCGGCGTGGGAATTCCTGCAGAAAACGTCATTGACACCCAGGAGTCGGTCTCCTTCACGCACATCTCCACTTCGGCCCGCCTTCCCACTCTCATCAATCTAAATGATACACAAATGCGAAAAAAGGAAGCACAAAAATCAATTATACTGAAAAAAAATCAGGAAATATAGGATATTCACAAATGCAAAACATGCTTCAATTTCCCAACTTATGCCCACAGAAATTATTGCAGGTAGTCCGGACTGATTTTTCATAAACTCAAAATTTATATGTACAGTATTGCATCTAGAATCAGGGGTTTTATACTTCTGGTCCTGTCAGGTGCTGGTACTCAATTATTTGCTTTTATCGACGGAATTATGCTTAAGATAAAAATAATAATAATCAAAACTGTCCAAGGACAGAATTGAAAAAAAAACTGCGTTTAATGACATAATAATTTATTGAAAAATTGGCGGCAACTCGAATAAAAGGAGACATTCCACAAAAAAGTATCAGCCTGCATATTGCACGCCGAGTGATGCAGGCAAAACAATTAACCTTCCCTCGACATGATACACGACACATTGGATAATAATTTTTGCTCGAGATCGTTCAGGAAATATAAAAATAGAAAGTTATGCTTTGATTTAGATTTCCGCATTGGAGCCAGCATGAGGAAATCCGCGAACAACAGCGGGGAAGATGACATAAATCACACAACCTGAGAAGCCGACTCGATCAGCCTCAGGGCCTCGGCGTGGGAATTCCTGCAGAAAACGTCATTGACACCCAGGAGTCGGTCTCCTTCACGCACATCTCCACTTCGGCCCGCCTTCCCACTCTCATCAATCTAAACGATACACAAATGCGAAAAAAGGAAGCACAAAAATCAATTACACTGAAAAAAAAAACTCAGAAAATATGGGGTATTCACAAGCGAAAAAATTCTTCAATTCCCCTACTTATGCCCACAGAAATTAGGGTGGTCCAGAATGATTTTTCATAAACTCTCAGTTTCATACAAAAATTATACGCATTGCATCTTGAATCAGGGGTTTTATACTTCTGGTCCTGTCATGTGCTGGTACTCAATTATTTGCTTTTATCGACGGAATGATGTTAAAAAGTAAAAAAAAATAATAATCAAAACTGCCCTAGGACAGTACTGAAAAAACAGCAAGTTTAATAACATAATATTTTATTGAAAAAGTTGCCACTCGAATAAAAGGAGACATTCCACAAAAAAGTATCAGCCTGCATATTGCACGCCGAGTGATGCAGGCAAAACAATTAACCTTCCCCCGACATGATACACGACACATTGGATAATAATTTTCGCTCGAGATCGTTCAGGAAATATAAAAATAGAAAGTTATGCTTTGATTTAGATTTCCGCATTGGAGCCAGCATGAGGAAATCCGCGAACAACAGCGGGGAAGATGACATAAATCACACAACCTGAGAATGTTGATGCTGGTCTGGATGTTTTATGGCTCCCCTGTGTGCTCGTGTCATCACCAATAGTTTTTTTTTCTATTTTCAAATACTTGAAAATTAATCTTGAAATTATCAAGTGGTCATTGTTTTATGTACCACATGCCACAGATATTTTAAATTGAAGCCCATAATTTTCTGTTAGCAATTCCGCAAATCCGCGAAAAATTCATATATTTCGTTTAAAAAAAAAAAGCTTTTTCCATGTGGAGCAATTTTTTTTGTTTCCGTCCGTAAAACGTCTTCTTCCTGGTATGATCTGAAATCCTCAAGGTCGAAATAATTTACTGCATAATTTTGTAATCATATGCGATTATGGCGATCGAAATCCTGAATTGCGCCCAGTTTTCAACAAGGAGCTAAATTCGGATTCGGAGTATACGAAATTTATGAGAACTTCTTGAACTTACAAATCATACACAGGATCAAATAAGGAAACTGAAGCTAGATTTTCTTGTCAAGGAATAAAAAAAAGGATTAACTTGTTTCGAAGAGAACACGAGCTGTGCTAATCATGAAGGTTTTTAATATTTAAATTTAACGAGTTGAACAGACAAATTTTCCGAAGTTCCCTGACTGAAAGAAGAACACCGTAAAGAAGATTAACTTTTTTTTGTGAGGAATAAGAAACGAGTGGAAATATTTTAAAAGAGAACGTACGGTTTCTCATATTTCATAGCCATTAAAACACGGAAGTCTCCTCCGACCCGCAGCAGGAGTCGAATGACGAACGACAACTCCGCCTTCGACGGCTCGTTAGGTCAGCTTTGATTACGGCTATTATGCTAATGAAGCCAGAGGGGTTCTTTCTTTCTTCTTATTTTTTTTGGGCCATATTTCTCGCGGAAAGGATGACGAGGATGATTGTAAATCAAACAACAGCACGGTATCTGGAAAATTTCGGGACTTGAGACACGCCTTCGCAGTAAATTTGAAACTACTCGTGAACCGTCACAGCACTTTAATCACCTCATTTACTTTCCATCTCACAGTTCAGGTTATTCTAGTGAAAGCAAGAGTTGGAATGCTGATGAATTCGAACGTCGAAGTTCGTGTTAAAATACGTCTCCTATTTTCGCATCCCTTTCAGTGTACCTAATAGACAAATAAATTGAATTTTCAACCTACGGAATATATAACTCGAAATAACCGAGCAACTGGTAACCGTGAACTTGATCAAACATGTTCAAATTGTGTTAATTATGAAAAAATGAGGTCTGTTAAATTTCAAATCGACCTCTTTGATCGCCTCTCGATCTCTGAATAGGTCCCTTTTCCTTTGTCGAAGCAATCATTTTTTTGCATAATTGATTCATTGATTTGTATGATCGAATTGTTTGAATTTTGAAAGACATTCACAGTTCATTTTGCAGTGTCGGATGCTCCATGCTGATGCCCTTGAGGATACTAAGAAGCTCTGGTACTGTGAATTATTTTTCAACGAATTATATTACAACAGTAAACACCACGATATTTTCAATCGAGGCAAAAGTAATGGTCATAAGCAGAAAAAAAGGAATATTCAGAGGGAAAAAGTACTGTATGTCTAACAAAGAGCGTCTCATAAAAATAACGCGAGTTTCCCTGAATTAAAAATGCACACGATGATCCCAATCATATATAATATTGGGGTAACCTCATTTTCCACAAGGGAAATAATTCCTTAACTTCGATTTCAAGTATACAGTGGCTCTTCTGCAATTTTTTTCTTCTAAAATATGTCCGTTCTGCTTATTCCTGCTGCACTGTATATATTCTCTCGATTTTCTTGTAGAGTAGCTTGTGGCATTCATGGGAGAATTGTAGAAAGAAACAATTATGTTTATCAACTCAGACTTGGACTATCTCGATTTTTCAATTACAACACGTGTATATTTTCTTTACACGCACGTTTGGGATAATAAAAGAAATTCGCGTCGGAATGAATTATGCTGATCATTGTATGAGGAAAGTTTGTACTTGAAAGAAATGTAGTTTAATTCATTAATTTACTCCGAAGTTCTCCTTCAAAACCTATCGACAATATTATTTTCGCGAGTAATTTCGCAAAAAAGGGCGTTGAAACGTAACAATATTGTGCTCAATCCGGAACTGTTCATTCCTTTTATAATCCATCTTCAAAGTTTGGAATATCCGATTATTGTTTTTTTTAATAGAGAAACACGTTCAATTTAACCATTTCCACTAATTCTTCCCGTAACACGTCGCCTATGAATAAAACTCCCGCTTCATTACATCATATCGAATAACCGCTCCGAGAAAGAAAAGCGGAGTCACTGAAAGTGTTGTGAAACAAAAAAGCTACAAGAGTTTCCCTGAATTAAAAATGCACACGATGATCCCAATCATATATAATATTGGGGTAACCTCATTTTCCACAAGGGAAATAATTCCTTAACTTCGATTTCAAGTATACAGTGGCTCTTCTGCAATTAATTCTTTAAAAAAATGTCAGTTCTGCTTATTCCTGCTGCGCTGTATATTCTCTCGATTTTCTTGTAGAGTATCTTGTGGCATTCATGGGAGAATTGTAGAAAAAAACAATTATGTTTCTCAACTCAGACTTGGACTATCTCAATTTTTCAATAACAACACGTGTATATTTTCTTTACACGCACGTTTGGGATAATAAAAGAAATTCGCGTCGGAATGAATTATGCTGATCATTGTATGAGAAAAGTTTGTACTTGAAAGAAATGTAGTTTAATTCATTAATTTACTCCGAAGTTCTCCTTCAAAACCTATCGACAATATTATTTTCGCGAGTAATTTCGCGAAAAAGGGCATTGAAACGTAACAATACTGTGATCAAAGTGTTCATCACTTTTAAATTCCATCTTCAACCCTAGGAATATCCTATTATTCTTGAAAAAAAAGAGAGAAACACGTTCGATTTAACCAAAGGTGATTAAGAAGGGCATTGTGCAGCGGATACTTATTTTGAGGGCGAAGTAATGTAGTATAGCTTATTGGCGAGGCTCTTTCTTTTCGCCTCAGTGACTTTCACAACACTTTGTTTTTTCGATGTCAAACTCGCATATAAGTCTCCAAAGAAATATCATTAAGCACGAAGTCCCTTTTTTAAATCCTCGAAATAAGTGACATCGGGGTCAGCAGAATAATGCCGGAGCCGCGCGGGAGTCATCACGAACCATTTCCGCGACTTAATGACTATTTTTAGAGCGAAATCCAGCATTTGCACAACATGGGATAGTCCTTGAAATCTTGAGATATTTACGGTACTTGGGCCAAGGTTTTCAATTAGAATGATACAAGACACGATGAAGGGACCGGGTTCAAGGTGTACCACGGAAATCCCGCAGAGTTCCAGACGGAGACAAAAGCACTGTACCGAATGCGACAAGTTTCTTGAGGTTGTTTCATCGTGAAGAATAGGCATTTTTACCTATTAATGAATACCGTACTTCTATTTTTTTATGTATCTCCGCCGTATTTGCATTTCAAGAAAGCTATATCTTCACATTACGCTACGGGCCATCGGAAAAATATTCAAACGCAGTTTGTCTTAAACTTTGGGATGCGATAAAACTCTGGAGAGTTCGGACTAAAATATTTGTCAAATTTTTCGTAGCGCCCAAAAGCCGCGTAGGACATCGAATCCAAAAAATGCTCAAAATACAGTACAATACTGTAATCTACTATACACTGTGAACAAGAATGGATAAGTCGAACAATAAGTGATTTAGAGTATTAAATCTAAAATTACTCCATAAAACAAGGATTTCATTTCTTTACTGAACCAAATACACCATTGATTGGGACAGGAAAGTGCCATTCCTTGGGCACCGGCAATAAACAAGTCCAAAAACGATTTTGAAAAATTCTCAGATGATAAACAAAAAATAAGTCAAAATTAACTATGCAGTAAAATTTTCCGAAGGACATTCGCGGGATTACGCGAAGAGATGCGAAATCGGGACACGCCTCATGCAAATTATTTTAAACCCTGGCAAAAATCCCTCACATCAAGGGGAACTGCTTCTCCAGCATTTTCTTTTGACAAAGTACCAATCGCAAATCGAACGGTAAAATTAAGCATCGTTGGAAATTAATGACTCAAACCCTCATTTCATTTTTTTTAAATCACACGCACAGATTTCTTCAAACGCTTATGATACTGTACTTCGAGTTGAATAATCGGCTCTTTTCCGCAGCTGTTGTTTGTTAAAAAAGAAGCAATGTTTTTTTTTCTTCCTTTTCTGCCCAAGAGGTTCGGATGAACTTGCAGTGGGTTTCCGATTTGCTTTTCGACAGCCAATAATAGATTATGAAGCAAGTGGCCGCCCGCAACGGCCGCAGTCATTTCCGCCAAGGTTACCACAACACTCAACTTTTGGTGATTATCAGGTAGCAATTATCTCGAATATACAATGCGAAACACACCCAACACAAACCACGAGAAGCTTTGAGATGTACGATGTTTGGGCCACTAAAAATGTCCTGATTCTTGAGCATTCAATTTATCTTCAATCGTGAAAGTAACACGCGGAGTATAACGAGGTCATTTTGAAGGATCTTTATTCTACTGCTATCAAGTAATCGGCGATGAATCATGCAATTGACGAAACTCAAGTGATAACGCTTCTAGCCATAATTTGGCACTTTCGAGGCTTTTACAGTCTCCGATTAAAAAAAAAAGAAGCATTATAAGTTTCATCGTCGTTTGATGCGAAAGTAACACGATGCACGTCAAAATACATATAAACGTTTATTTTTACATTTTACAGAATCGCCGCTCATTGTTCATGATCATGGAGCTGCTTCATCACCAGGTCACGTTTCATAGTTTTGGCAACCCTTTCGTTGA